TTGATTTAAGATCATTACACTTGCATATCTTTTTTCAGTTCACTGTACAAACAGCATGCCCAAATCATCACTCGTTTAAGTTGTTAAGTATTCTTAAATTCTCTTGTTTATGTGGTTTGTGACAAAATATAACATTTCTGTCTACAGAAAAAAAAAACCTGGCGAAAATATGCTCTATGAAATAGCATCTTCAAACCTGAAACGTGTTTGTAATTTTTCCAGTTTTTGCCATGTTTTGACCAATACTTTAATTAGAATCAGTTAAGCTGGGTTATACTATATTGTAGCTGGTTTTAAACGATTAACTTTAAACCTCTTGATATTTATTATGGCATACTTGGAATAAATTTGAAATTTTGTGGAAAATATAGCGGTGTAAAAAATGTACTCATTATTTGATTTGTTCACAGTCCTGTATGATGTCTGGCATGATTGTTAAACTATCATTTTTCACTGTATAGTCTTGTGGAAAATATAAAAAAATTGCATACTCGTTGGAAGCTGGATATCCTTGGAAATGTCATCCTCCAGATCGATGATCAAGAGTTCAGGAATAAGCCGTCATTTTTTCAGTAATGCTTACTAATTCTTTTTTGTGTTTCATTTCAGTATGTTACCTTGTTTACAGCATCTGAGCTGCTTTCCAAGTGGCCACACCTCTGACATCAGAGGTTTAAATTCTTTTTTTTAGATTGTTATAGAAGCCAACACACACACAAACAGAGTAGCGCATATCATACTTCTGCCCTTGTATGTGAGATGCATGAGAAGATGATGAAACTGCTTTTTGTACTACTCCAATTGAAAAGCAAAAAAAAACGTTTACTAAGTCATTATTTTACTGAAATAACAATACTTTTACTTAAGTATGATTTTAGACTATCCACCACTCACTTTACGTATAAGAACACAGCATAAATGGTCTTCATTGATTTATGGCGTAGAATATATGGGTCATAGTCTGGACTAGGCATTGTAACTGCCGGGCAACGTCACAGTTAAACGTTATGATGATGGCTCAATCAATGTAATGTGCTATAAACTACTACCAATCTTTAGTGGCACAATTTATTATTTAGCTTTTGCAGAACGAGGCCATCAAGATTCATCAAAGCTTAGAAATGACTTTGTGTGGTGGCGAGGAGCAGAGTACTTCGAGGGGAAAAGTGTTATCTTGCGTTGTTTCGTCTCCGGTTACATTGGCTTACTGCCTTGTTTCTCGATCTGTAGCCCGTGGCCTCATTCAGTGTTGGTAAAGTTGACCAGCCGCAACACGGTTACTGTGGCAGGCAAAATCAAGAAAAGCAGACAGGAAAGTGTTTAATTGTTTGAACGCAACCAATGTTAACTCATTATTAAATGAACAAAGTAAGTATAAAATAAATAAACTATGTACAGATATATGAAGTAAGTATAAGTCCGAAATATATATCTGTATAATTATACTGTTGCCTCCCTAATCATTAGCCAAATAAACTATAGTCCAAGGTATTATGCCTGGATCTTTAAACATATCAATTTAGATGTTTTATATTATTATTTTTATTTTGCTCAATGCATTGTTTCCCTTCGGGGAAATGAATTAGTCAGCATCTGGTGTGTGCACTCTAAATGGCCATAAAGCACAATATTGAAACGAATAAGCTCATAACAGTGATGAAGCAGAAATAGACTGTTATCTAGACGCTTTAGAAGTCATACCCACGGAAATAAGCTTCTTTTGATAACAAGAAAATTCTCTGAAACACCCATTATTGGCAAGCATTACAATGATCTCAATACGTTTACTGGTCAATCAAAAAATATTTGGCTTCGGTTGATAAAAGAAAACTAATTTTTTTATTTCACTGCTCAGTCTAGGTTGCCACAAAGACGAATCAAATGAATCAAGCAACAAAAATCAAGAAAATAATTATAGACACAAGTCAGAAATTAAGGGAAACTAATCTCTGAAAATTTTGGACAAAGGGGAGTAACGGGAACCTTAAAGTCAATTATTTAGATATATGCCAGCAAGGTTTAATCAGTACTTTTATTACGTCACCGTTTAGTCCAAACAACATTGAAATTAATAAATGTAGAACAACAACAAAAGACATTAACGTTTCATGCGCTTATTTGAGCTGATAATGTTATATGTTTTGGTAAAATGGTAGATCTGATAAATTTTGGCATTTTGTTACCTACATTCTTAAAAATTGGCCTGTCTCTGTCAGGCAGCTAATCTTTCATGTCTGGAACGTTTTCGAGGTTGGTCCCGGGTGTGCCGACTTCGGCTCGCGGTATAAAAGAGCGATTCTCTGTGACATTTTACAGAAGTTCTCTTCCAAAGCACTCTGTAACCATGAGCCTCACTACCAAAAACAAGGACACCATCAAAGGCTTCTGGGCTAAGGTCGCCCCGAGAGCTGAAGAGATCGGTGCCGACGCTCTGTCTAGGTAGGGGACTTGATTCATCCATCTCTTCTCTCTGTTTACTGTCCAGTTTCTCTTCAGTTCTGACAGTAACGTCTGTATGTGTCCGTACATGCAGGATGCTGGTCGTCTACCCGCAGACCAAGACCTACTTCTCCCACTGGAATGACCTGAGCCCCGGCTCTGCCCCCGTGAGGAAGCATGGAAAGACTGTGATGTCTGGCGTGGCAGAGGCTGTCAGCAAAATCGATGACCTGACCAACGGACTGCTCACCCTCAGCGAGCTGCACGCTTTCCAGCTGCGTGTTGACCCAGCCAACTTCAAGGTAAGTTGTGTATCTCTTAACGCTGCCAGTTCCTTCTCGATTCCTGCTCTGCCTTCAGTTTTTTAATCATGTCCTTGTTTCTCTGTAGATCCTGTCCCACAACTTGCTCGTGGTTCTGGCCATCCAGTTCCCCAATGACTTCACTCCTGAGGTGCACGTGGCCATGGACAAGTTCCTCTCTGCTGTGGCCCTGGCTCTCTCTGAGAAGTACCGATAAGCTGCCGAGCTCGCATTAGACGCACAGCCTGTCTCATTAAGATCCAATAAATGGTTCTGAATGATCTAAACAAAATGTGTCTGAACTATTATTCGTAATTAACACTATATGTGTGGTTTGTTTGTGTTCAAAAAGTGTCTGTGAATAAATGAAAGTCAATGAGAAGTTCGCAAAGACGCACAACACACGTCTACTGGTGCTTTACAAGATTCATTGAAAATTTTAGAAAAAATCTATTACGTTATTTCTTATCAATGATACAAATGTGAGTTTATAATGAACTTTACTGCAGCACTGTAAACTATGACACATTGAGTTTGCTTTAAAAAGTTGGGAATCATGTTGCTACACTTTTCCAAAATAAATAAACAATTTAATATTAATTAAAGTCTACAAATTTCTGTTCTGAAAACTGAAAATCTTTGAATAAAATAATGAGCTGTTCTGTAATCAGTAAACTTGCTTACACATAGTCAAGTGTACTATTATGATTTACAGTCATCAGGTTAACGTGTGGATAACATTTCCACTATTTTGAGAAACATTTTTTGTATTTGAATTTTTTTTGTACACTGCATTATTTTCTTATTTCTTATTCATGACATTTATTGTGTGTATATAGTGAACGTATATGCCGTACATCCTATTTATTATCCTCGTTAACATGAGGACAAATGTTCTACTCTTTTGAGGAACACCTCTACATCTAATTCTAAATAGTGTAAAGACAACATATCAAATGTTGAAACTGAGAAATTTTGCTTTTTTTTTAAAAAAAAAATGCCCATTTTGAATTTGATGCCAACAACACGTTCAAAAAAGTTGGGACTGGGGCAACAAAAGGCTGGTAAAGTTATGTAAAAATACACGTGGTGGCTGATTGGCAACAGGTCAGTAACATGATTGGGTATAAAAACAGCATCTCAGAGAGGCTGAGTCTTTTAGAAGTAAAGAGGAGGAGGAGTTCACCACTCTGTGAAAGACTGTGCAGGCAAATTGTGCTGCAATTCAAGAATAACGTTTCTCAGCATAAAATAGCAAAAAACTTTTGCTTTTCATCAACTATGTTACATAATATAATTAAAAGATTCAGAGAATCTGGAGAAATCTCTGTATGCAAGGGACAAGGCAAAAAACTAGTATTTGCTGGCCATGATCTTTGGGCCCTCAGGTGGCTCTGCATTAAAAACAGACATGATTATGTAGTGGCAATCACTGCATGGACTCTGGAACACTTCTGAAAACCACTGTCTGTCACCCACTGAAAACTTTTGGTGCATTATGAAATGAAAAACATGACAAAGGAGACCCTGAACTGTTGAGGCGCTTAAATCTTATGTTAAGCAAGAATGGGGAAATATTTCACTTTCAAAACTACAGCAGTTGGTCTCCTCAGTTCCCAAACGCTTACAGAGTGCTGTTAAAAGAAGAGGTGATGAAACACAGTGGTAAACATGCCCCCGTCCCAACCTTTTTGGAAAGTGTTGTTGGTATGAAATTCAAAATGGGCATACATTTTTCAAAAAACCATTGAATTTCTCACTTTAAACATTTGATGTTGTCTTTGTAGTATTTTCATTTAAATATAGGGTTTACATGATTTGATTGCATTCTGTTTTTATTTACATTCTGCACAACTTCCCAACACTTTTGAAAATGGGGTTGTAAATGCCCCCCCCCCTGCACGTTTTATTCTTCCTGAACTTTTTAATACCAGTTATGTCATTTATCTGTCTTTAATGCCTGTACGAAACTTCGACTGATTCATTTGTAAAAAATTAAAGTGCATGAGGTTAATAACGCGATATTTTGGTACAGAGTAGTGTGCAGCATCATAATCATTTGCAAGGAAGCGTACCAGATTTTGCACGTTAGAGATGTTTGATTATCATAAAGTCACATACTGCGCCAAACACATCAACAAACACAAGCCATTATTCAATTCTGATCATGTTTATTTGCTTTAACTGACAAATACAGGCTTGTTTTTAAAACGGGAAACTTGTGATGGTTCTCTTTAATAATTAAGATCCATTCAGCGTCTAGTGGTACTGTTTTGTCAGAGCAGAGGCGACAACAGCCAGGAACTTCTGGAAAGCTGCCTGCACATCAGCTGTGAAACCAGTCCCCAGTTTAGAGGCAACGACGACGGTAAGACAATCAGCCAACAGCTGTGGGAGAAAAAGAGGATGAATAATAAACATGAGTCAAAGCACGTAACAAACGACCGAAACAGGCCTTAAATAAATAGTGGCTTCACTAGCACAAGAAATTACTTCCGTTATAAGTGAAGCTCACGGGACTCACCCTGAAGTTGTCGGGATCCACGTGCAGTTTCTCAGAGTGCAGCACGCTCAGTTCAGCGTAGGTAGCCTTGATGTTGTCCATGTTCTTCACAGCTTTGTCCAGACCATGGAGCACAACTGCGCCGTGAGCAGCAACCAAGGGGTTTCCCATGATAGCAGCGGCGTTGTACAGGTTTCCAAACTTGGCGAAGTACCTCTGGGTCCAGGGGTACACAACCAGACACCTGAGCAGTGGGACAAATCATCATGAAATTAAATCCGAAAAAAGTCGTTTAGCTGGCTATGCATGATATGAAGATCATTTACAGAAACGTACCTTGCCAGGGCGTTGTGTCCCACGGACTCATAATCCATTTTGGAGAAGATGTCCTGGATGGTAGCGCGCTCGAAATCTGTCCACTCAACCATGTTGCTGACTTTGGAGGTTTCTGCGTGTCCTGATGAGGTAGAACCCTGTAAGCTGAGAGTCTCGGTCTGCAGTTTATATACCCATAAGCACACCCCTCCCAAACCCAGCTGATAGGTTGAACGTTTCATCGGGTGGGTCAAGTCACGTCAATCCGACCCATTTTCATCAGATATGGTTTACTTTTCTTTTGAAATGTCGTCACGGTGTTTGGCGACACATGCAAAATTCTTCATGGAGAACAGCTGGAAGATGAATTAACCGATTTCACAGATAGGCTATACACACTGGTCATCATTCTTCAGTTAACGGTCTGTAATAGTTTCAAATTGGATTATTTTTATTACATTATTATTGAAAAGGCTTCATATTAAAAGTTTGAACTTTTATCAAACCACTCGACATCCCTAGTAGCCTACTCAATGTAATCTCGTGACAACGAAAAATAGATGTGTTAATGTAACATTAGTGTTTTATGTCTATTTAATTACAGTTAAAAGTTATATTTGTGGAAAAATAGTTCCTATTTTTCAACATTTAGCAAAAGAGCTGTTCATAGCCTAACTGCACACACACAAAAACTAAATTCAACACTCTTACTAAAGTTGTTGCTTTTGGTGTGGATCTGTACGTATCTCTTTTTGAAATTAAAATATGTTTTCAATAAGCTACAAATAACACAATGTCAAAATAACATTACGCTGGAAAAATTTGTTTAATTTAGGCTACTTCTTTTAAATATGTATATCAGCTCTACACAGAAGGAATACATGAATCAACACAATTCTTTCCGAAAGCAAGTAAGCTTGAACAATAGATCTGCGATATATTTTATCATGATAATGTTCACTGTCGATGCAGCATGTAAGTGTGCCAACTCTCAATATCTTAAGCTATGCGTAACAATCAGTTTTATTTTTTGGTTACATGTATAAAGTCTATATTGAGCTTACCAGCACGAGAAGTGAATCTGTTAAGACGGTCCCGCCGAGTACATCTTAAAAATATGAGCGACCATGTACTCAACAAACCGAAGCAGTATGCGCTACACTACGAAACACAGAAAGTCCACTGACACCCCTTGCCTATCAAATTATTACATAATTAATACAGCCTACATATACGATATATGTTATGGATATGGGATAAGGTTATGTATACAATACCGTGTCACCAACACGTATTAACATTAGGCTAAGTTTGGGCTAGGATTCGACCGGTTATCGTTTTGTACTAAGCAACAGAGCCCGCGACAAAAAAACTGTCACGACAAGTTAACCCTTTAAAATCCCACGTTTATTATTCAGTAAAATTCGGTAACTACATGGACTACAATGTACATTGACTGAGTTATTCTTATGTTACAGAAGTGTGAATTAAACGTCAGGAGCCGTCTGTGGGTCCTGGCAATTTAACGGATTAAATGTTGTTTTACGGACCGATCCTGCTGGAAAAGCCAGCACAGACCAGCATGGTTGGTCACCAGCAAAACCAACATATGTTTTGTTTTACGTGCGTGGTTATGCTGGGTGACCAGCTAAACCAGCACCAGACCAGCATAAACCTGCTTAGACCAACATGGATTTCATGCTGTTTTTCAGCAGGGGAATCAGCGCATCTCGGGGAAAAAAGACTAATGTCGCCCCCTGTCTTTCAGATGCATTAAAACAAAAATATGCACAGACATTACATGAGGTTACTGCTTTTTACCAGCAGGAGGCACTCCTGGTAAGGAAATTGATTTCAACGAGGTTAACAAGGCGATGAAAGATCTCTCTCTGAAGTTCACTGGCTGTTGCGTTGTGTGAGGCTAGAAGTGTTCATTTACAAAATGATGAACTATAACATACTTTAATGAACAAACTGACTGCCCTGTTGCATGTCGATCTTCCAACGAGCTACGATACACTGTATGGTTCGTCAGTCTAACCTAAAAAAAACTTCATGTGGTAAAAAGCTTTCTGCAGTTTGGGCCAGTGAAGCCTATCAAGTCTTAACAAAGTTTGAGTCTTATTTACAGAGACAGTACAAAAAGTGAAAGGTAAAATGTTTTTCGAGTTTTGTTAACCTTAAAAATATACTTCTTTATTCTAGACCTGCAAACTGGTGTTTTACACACGCACAAATAGTTTTGGATAGGATTACACAAATTACACAGATAGAGAAGCGTGATTCGTCACTGCACAGAATATGTTTCCACTGCTCCACAGTCCAGGCGCGGCGTGCTTTACACCACTCCATCAAACGCTTGGCACTGTGCTTGGTGTTGTAAGGCTTGCATGCAGCTATGGAAGGCAGGCCATGGAAACCCATGCCATGAAGTTCCTGGTGCACAGTTTTTGTGCTGATGTTAATGCCAGAGAAGGTTTGGAACTCTTATTGCGTGAGCAGAGCGTTGGTGACTTTTATGCACTATGTGCCTCAGCACACGGCGACCCCGCTCTGTAACTTTACATGGTCTGACACTTTGTGGCTGAGTTGCTGTGGTTCCTGTCCTGGTCTGTTTTCAGTAGCCTATGTTATTTGAGCAATAGGGCCACACCAGTAGGTGGCAGTAAAGCATCATGGTTCACAACGGTTTCCTAACAGCAACAAAATCCAAATACACAAACTTGACGCGTTAACACAGCGAATATTTTTGTGTTAACACGAAAGTACGGCTACATGTTAACACCGGGATTCCCAGTGTTTTGATCCCAAAGGCCTGTATTTCCATATGCTGCACGAGCTACAACACGCCCTCGCAACATCAGAACATCACGCTGATTGGCTGGAATCTCCGGCTGCATTCGTTTTCAACTTTTTCGACTGCAGGGGTGGGGTATAAAAACAATGCTGTCAAGTCGGGCACATACTTTTGAGCTCACAACAATTTGTTTTTGTTGCAGACGAAATCAATGAGCTCGAAATAAAGGCTGGAAACTATAGTGTATGGTGGCCATACGTAAAATAATGTTTGGTTGTCAAAAAAGCATGTTGTAGCTCGTACATCCAAAGGAGAGCAACTGCAGCGTCTGATTTAAAAAAACTACAGCCGCTTTACTCCCGCCAGATTTTAACGTCATGTGACACTGTGACGTTCTGCAGCAGCGGAACAAAATTTTCTAACCAGCATGCATCATGTTAATGATAAATACACAAACACATATCTTCTAAGCCGCTTATCCTTCTGGGCCGTGGGGTAATAATAAATAGTAATAAAAAATAAATACAGAAAAAAAAGACTTTGTGCATACCAAAAGACTTTGTGAGGGTAACTAAAAAAATAAAAGTTTGGGCATGAGTGCAATCAGGCTGCTGTTTTAAAGCCATTTTATAAAATTATGGATGGAAACAAACTCAACTATTTACACACGTTTTGTACATCGGTATATTATGCCTTTTGAACTCAGCAAAGAATGGTGCTATTCCTTTTGAGAGGCTAACTGTCTCATTTTGTTTAACTGCCGTGGCCAGAGTAGTGGTCAACTGCCTTTAAGGCCTTGAACCTGAGAGCAATTTTTGCTGATGTCATTCGGCTGGCAGGAGGGATACTATGGTCTCTTTTCCACTGCAGGGCTAAAAGGTTCTGAGGGTAAGGGTTCCAGTGACTTTTCCCCACACGGAATGCTTAAAAACCAGGCTCAGTGCGTTACTTGGGGCCACAGAACTGTTCAGTGGGATGTAACTATTTATATTGGTATTCTGCCACAACAATTTGCTGCGTTATTTCAAACCCAAAAACGATTCTCACCAACAGAAAGTTTACTGATTCAAGTTTAGATGATAAAGACTCAAATCTGAGGGAAAAAAGTCGAGTGGCTGGTGTTGAAGGGACAGAAAGCTGACATTAAGCCTGTTCTGTGGTGTTTGGAACTGTAGTGTGGTTAAGCTAATGCTAGCTTACTCCTTTCTCCCAGCTAATTTAGCTTAGCTAAAGAGATCTAAACACCCCAGTACAGTTTCAGTTAGATTAATGGCGTCTGCTATCACAAGTATAGACAATAAAAACCTATTTCAGTGAAAGCAAAGTCGACTGATTGGTGTTGGAGTGACAAAACCAAATTCAAACTGATTCGGTATTTTAAGCTGTAGCCTGATAAGCAAAGCTTACGCATGTACGTTGCCTCCCACTGCAGTACAGACTTAGTTCCAGCGGACGGATGCTTGAAAAACACGTTTAGATATCTGAGAGCACAGATTAGAAAGACTGGTGTTGAAGTGATAGGTTAAGCCCACTGCAGTACAGCCTTGGTTTCTGTAGCTCATGCTCAAGTAACACTCTTTTAGAGGATAAAGAATCTGAGAGCACAACGAGAGACTGGAGCTGTGACGGACGAAATCAAATGTGTTTTGTGGTGGGTGGCATGTATAAAGCTTTAGCTTTTTAGCAGTTAGGCACTTATTTGTGTAGTTTTCTTCAATATTTCCTGGTTCTGATTTAGCGGCACAACAGACGGAAAAAGAAACCGTATCCGGTCTCATGACCCCAGACCAATGCTTTCTTTCTTTTCTCTAAGCTTCTGGCTTGAGGTGCTTTTACATTTACATTGTTGGGTCCAGACCAAAATCTGGTCCAACCGAAAGAAGTGATCTTAACCTGTTTGTTTGTATTTATTTATGTATTTATTTATTTATATGGTTAGGTATTTTGGACTAATTGCGGGAAGATGAGACAGGCAATCATCAGCTATTAAACAATGAAGAGAAAGAACCGCGAGAGAAGTAAAAGCTGCAGAGGCACATGGGGAGAGGAGGAGACAAAATATTTAATTGTAATTTGGTCCAAAGAAAAACTTGAAAAAACGCATAAAAATGCCAAAAGTTATACTTTATTTTCTGAGAGGATGAGAATGAGAGAGAAAATATTCATTTTCTCCATTTAAACGTCAAAGCCTGCCCGCCGACATGACAACTTGCCGACGTCAGACGCACGCTTCTCTACAAACCAATCAATGTGCAAGTATAGGGAGACGCAGGTTACGTAGGTGATGACGACAGGACGTAGGTATGTCATCCATAGTTCTTTAGTATGCCAACTAAATATTAATGTG